ATGCCGGGAGAAGGAAAAGGCAATTTTAAGGTCGTAGGGTTACCATAATCGCGGCAATATAATCAGTCTCATTACTTAATTGCCACACCTCGTACATACCGAAAAATACACGAAACAAAATACATTTAATCTGGTTTTTCCAGAGCCTGAAATAACAATACTTTAGAGTGCAAAATATATCAGTGACGTCAATAGTATTTAAGCAGCAAAAAATATATAGTATTAAATTTTAACTTTTACACAATTATATAATTGTGTAAAAGTAATAATATGCTAATCGAACTACCCGATATAATATTAATTCTCGAATGGAAATTGCAGAAGAAAAAATTAGAAAGCAGAAGTATTATTATTTGGTGAAAATATTTTATGATAAATGTTTTGCTTTTATTACAAAGTTTACTACATTATTTTCATATAAAATTAATCCAAAAAGTCAATTATTTTCTCGCCAAAAGAAAATAATTAAATTGAATTTGATTCTTAAGTTTTGCGTTTTTACTTTGGTCAACACTGTTAAAATTACGAGTCATTGAGTCGATCATGTGGTCGACCAAAAAATTTTACAACTCGTCATTTATTTGTGATTTTTTTAGAAAATTATTTTATTGATATTTTTTAATTTTATTATGTTCATAAATTTTCATTTCAAAAATTAAATGAGATTTGACAAATCCTTAGATGCATAAACAACGCACTATAGAACACATTTGTGTCGAGTATTTCGGTTTCAAAGTTGACGGAGTCGTGGAGTTGTTAAGCGGATATAACTCCTCCCTGAAGCGGAGTCAAATCCGAGTCGATCCGGCTTCGGATATGATAAGCCATCTCTAGTCTGTACATATATATTTTCTTAGATTATATTACATACAGATACCAAACTGCAGCATAAATTGTGCAAAAGTTCGAATTGTAGGTATGTACATACTTATAACTCTATCGCGGTTGGTAGTCCGGATAATTGCGAATCCGTATAACTGAGGTCCGGATAATCGAGTTCGAATTCTAACCTTATATAATATACGATACGTGCGGTGCACGTTGGATTTTTCTAAGCCTTCGTAAATGTCTTTTTAATTTGAGCTTTAATGTTTAATAAAATGTAAAGTTTCAATAAAAATCTCGCTTATTTTCTCTTCAATATGAAAAAAAACTATTCACAGTTTTTAAATACTATAAAACAATTCTTGAATTTAAAACAATTCTTGAATTTGATTTATTATTATTTCACCAATATATTGAATTTTATAAAAAAGAAAACCTTTGAATGATCATCCTGCAAAACTAACCTTAACAAACGATTCAGAAGAACTGAAACACAAGAAAACATAAAATATTATTATTATATTTTCTTTTTTGCGCTGTTTAAAGATACAATAAAGAAACAGCTTTATTTATATGAATAGGTTTGTTTAAATAAGAATTGCAGACTTTTAATAAGAACTTCATTATTCGATTATATGTAATATTTTTATATACTTATTTCTTTTTTCGCTTTTGAACCTAGTATATAATTCTATACAATATTTTTCATAATTTTATAAAATTAGTTCATTGTTCATTTATTCATAATTCCTGTTCATTTTCGAAAAATACGGGACAATCCGGTACAAAAGATCTAAATCCTGGACTAATATTGTTTTTAGAAAAACCCGGAACACAAGGTGGAATCCAGGGCTATTTATGAAAAACCAATTTGTTCAGTTTTTTATCTGCTATAATTTTGTTCATCATAAAATTTTTGTTTAAAAGCTTATTTTGTAGATATTTGAAAAAAAAAGATGAAAATATGAAACAAATCAAATTTTCAATTGACAATAACATAACATTTTTGAAAACTGTACTGAACATTCTTTTCTTAAAATTATGCTTTCTCTAGATACCCGAGGTTATTTTGAATAAAAATATTCACACCACCGAGAAGGGGTGGAAACCTTCCGTAGGATGGGGGTGGAGTTCAAATCATTTTTCCTTTATAACCTACTTTCCCAGTAAATACAGACATCCAAAGACATCAATAGTTCATTCACAAGAATGATAAATAAAAAAGCGTAAATAATGATTATATACATGAAAAATAATTCATATCCTTGTATATCAAAACAAATCAATAAGTAAAAGTTTAAAATTGTAATGTGCCTATGTAAGTGATCGTTTGATATTGATGAAAATAAATCACTAACAAAATTAACATCGTGGCAATACATATGATAAATCAGTTTTTTATATATCAATTTACTAACTCATACAGTTCATAATGCAATATTCATAGTGCAACGATTGGGCTGCAAAATACTTCAAATATATATATATATATATATATATATATATATATGTATATATATATATATATATATGTATATATATATATATATACATATATACATGTATATATTCTTGAAATGTTAATTGGCTGTAAATTAAAATTTCAAGAATATGTCTCAACATCGAACAAAAAAATCTAAATCATATATAGATGTATAAATATAATTAAATTCCGTATTATATATATTCAGTAAAACGTTTCGTCTTAAGAAGGTTGATCATAATATTAGGTCATCATAATAATTAAACATAATATTAATTAACATATTATGTTTACTGCAGTGTGAAATGGCAATGGAAAATGAAAAACACTATTGTTCACTGGATCGTGTTGGAGTTCAACTCAGCTCAAGAACCTGCCCTAATTCCACTCTATACATATATGTGTAACGTTCTTCGATACACATTTGCAAAAGTATGATATATTTACTAATATGTTAGTCATAATTCTTAACAGGCAATACATCACTTAACCCTAAAATTTGACAGTTGGACAGAAAATTTAATGGAAGTATATGCATATATATATATATATATATATATATATATATATACACGACAGCTGTTGATATAAAAAATGTACCTCTGCTGTATCATTATGTGTGAATATAATTACAAATATTAATAAATACGTTAAATTGAATAAATACCTGCAATTAAAAATCAGGTGTCTAAGTCTATATAATTATATAATATTATCGAATCATCTATCCATTGGCATATGGTGCAACAAAATTGTCTCTGCTTACAACTGCATTTCACATCATTTTATAACAGTTTGCAAATGCAAACGATGCACATGCACTGCGCAATAATGCGATCGTATTGCCAGAGTTGACAATTTATAAATTGAAGTTTTATTTCAGGATACGAAACATAGATAAAATAAGTGTATAGGAAACTTAGGGTCTGTTCGCAGTGGCAGTTTGTGACGATCCACAACTCTTCCAAACTCATTCTGATTTGTTACACTGCGCATGCGCCGTCTCATGACTGTTTCCAACGATTTGACAGGACGGTTTACATCGAACGCGACCTAACCTTCACAAACCGTTTAGTATAATTCGTTTTGTTTTTATGTTTGTTTGGGCAGTTGTTTATTTATATTTTTTTTAGCTGTATTGTTTGATATAATAATAGATTAAAAATATAATAAATAAGTTTTTTGATGTTTATTTTCATCAAATATATAAAACAGTTATTCAATTATTTATTTTTAATCGTTAAACTCCTGTAAATTTGATAAATTTATTAATCTCATACTTTATTTGAGGTTAGAAAAGTCAAGAATTAATGATTTCAAAGAATCGGCATCCATGTTCTCTGACAGTCACAAACGCATCAAACCGAGCTGACCGAACGCGTAGATAAAAATCCACAACAGTATGGGATTCAGTTTGGACACATCGAACGGTCACAACGATCTGCGCATGCGTCTGACGATTGCGGACTGTCGGTGACTGTACTCCGAACAAACCCTTAATAATAACTAATATTTTATTGACTCATGTGAATAGATAAAAGAAGGGTGGGTACTCTTCTTTTATCTATGGGTGGGTATATGGGGGTGATTCATAGACCTTATATAATCATAGACCTTATACAATTTCATTGTATAAGGTCTATGTATGGCTGCGTTCGACTTGGACGCTTACGCGCTGTGAGCGCGCCGTGAGCGCGCTTTCATCGTTCGACTTGGCGCTGTGAGTGTCACATAAGCACGCTCGTAGCATCATCGTAGCATGTTTGTAGCACATATATTGCGCTCAAACGCGCTCACGCCACGGAGGTGAGGCAGATGAAAGTGTCATGGCCGTTTATCAAAACGAATGCAAGGAATGCATAATCTAATCCTAATTTCATTCATTTTTAGTTCAATAAGTACGCAAAAATGGCGAGCTGTGCATTACAATTATTTTTTAATATTAATATTAATATTGATTAATTTTAAATTCAATTAATTTTAAATAATTTTAAATTTTAATTTTAATATTACTATTATTTAAGCATAAGCAAACCAAATTTTATTTATTTATTAATTGTTAAACTTTTTATAATCCCGCTGAATGATCCAGAAAGTAATAAAATTTACACAATTACCGTTACCGCCAGTTGCCGCCATTTTGATGCTTATTGACGCTCACACGTATTGACGCTTATTGACGTATCCAAAACGAACGGAAGTTAGTTATCGATTCTAAGCCATAGACCTTATACAATTTTGTATTGTATAAGGTCTATGTTCTGAGCGCTTATCGGCCAAGTCGAACGCTAAAAATTCGTGCTTATAAGCGTGAGCGCTCACAGCGCGTAAGCGTCCAAGTCGAACGCACCCTATATAATACATATAAGCATCATATAAGGACTATGAGACTATGAGGTCATAACTAAACAAGTATAAGTGGTCCTTACCACTCTTCTTTTATCTATGTTCTTATCCTTACCACACGCTTATTCCACTCTGGGTACTCTGCTATTTCTGGGTCTATGGTGTGTCATATTATGAGTCGCCGCCTTCTCGGCCTTCAGACATATTATTTTTTGTTTACAAACAATTATTTGTTTCTGTTATTCTTTGAAAACTATGATTTTCGACATGAATATATTAATCACTAACATCAGATAGTTATAACTAGGCATTTTTATTTTATTATAAAATTATTTATTTAGCAATAATGTTTAGGTAATATTGCCATAGCAATTCTTTCAAAGTTCAGTTTTTTTAATTAAAATTGAATAATGCTACTTTCAAGTTAATATATATGTTCTTTTTGTAGGTCATGCATTTCCAGTATTATTTTATATGTATTTCTAACAGACCTAATTTTGGTATCAAGCATAACACAGAATGTTTTAGAATTTGAAAACAGTGAAAAAATTTTGGAAGCAATAAATGATTCAATTAATTATAGAATCCAAAATTTGAAAGGAAAAGACGAAAAACCATGGTTTTCAAGTCGTGACACTGCTCTGTCTTACTGTGTCAGACCTGGAAAATGTGAAAAACTGGAATATAACATGTGTTTTAATGCCAAAATACCATATTCTTATACAAGTTTAGATTTAACTTATTCTGTTAGTCAACAACAATCGTGGGACCAATTGCAGCAATATCAAACATTGATTCATATACCAAAATGTTGGGCTGTTATCCAGCCTTTCCTATGTGCAACTTATTTTCCCAAATGTGAAAACATTAGCAATACAGAAATTGTTTATATTCCTTCTCTGGAAATGTGCAAAATAATAATGGAGCCTTGTAGGCTCGTGTACAACACAACCTTTTTTCCTGACTTTTTAAAGTGCAACCCATCATTATATTCTTCCTCCTGTAAGAATGATGTAAGGGATATGAAATTCAACATCACAGGCCAATGTTTACCACCACTAGTTAAAACTGATTCAATTAAACATTTTTATGATGGTAATATAATATACTATTATTATTGTGTTGTAAATCATAATCTATTTGTTTCCAATTACTTTTAGGTATTGATGGATGTGGGCTTCAATGTAATGATGCTTTATACACAGTGAATGAGCATCAACAGATTCATAAATTAATAGCTTGGGGTGCCACAATTTGCTTGCTTTGCAATATGTTTACCATTTTAACATTTTTAATTGATTGGCAAAATGCTAATAAATATCCAGCACTCGTAATCTTTTATATAAATTGTTGGTTCTTGATTTCATGTTTAGGGTAGGTTTACGATTGAAATACTTTTAATTTACATACAGATTAACAAATATACAATTTCAGGTTTATTGCACAATTTATACCTGGAGCTCGTGAAGATATTGTTTGCCGTAAAGATGGCACTTTAAGACAATCAGAACCTAGTGCAGGGGAGAATCTGTCTTGCGTCGTTGTATTTGTAGTGGTATATTATAGTCTGATTGCTGCAATGGTCTGGTTTGTCATATTTACTTATGTATGGCATATAAGTTTTCAGGCGATAGGTATGTATTGTCAAAGAATGGTCAAAAAATAAAAAGTCTCTTTGGGTAGCTAATACAAAAAATTGAGAAAAAATATTTAGATTATAGGGGAAGTATGGTCAAAATGACATGGTGTTTTGTTTTTTTAATGTTAATAATTTATTTAGAGATAATATAATCAGTCTCAATGATTTTTAGTCATCTTTGGTTTATTGGCTTCCAGTTACATAGTCTTTCAATTAAATAGGAACTACAATAACATTTATTCAGAAAAAATGCAACCTATTATATAACCCACATTCATATAGTTAGGACAATAATTACATATTAAAATGCTAATTTTCAAGAAGATAGTTCATAAGTGAATTGTTTTGTTTATTTAGGATATCAAGACATGAAGCTTGAGCCCAAAGGGAACAAAGCTTATATTGTAACCAACTTTTGCCTGATTCAGAGCGGCAAAGAGTTTTTTGCGTTAAATGCTTATTTTAAATATCTATTTTATTACCAGTGGATTCTTTATTCTGTTTTACGAAGTAGTTGGAGTAAAAGTTAAAATCCAATCACTATCGACAGGTTTCAATTTTCTTTTTTGCTGGTCTTGAATGGAAAGCTATTTAGAGACAACGCTCAACACTTTTCTTATTATTATTATTCATTTATTCAGTTTTGTAATACTCTTTCAGTTTTTCAACTGTTTTGTACTTACTGTATGATAATTATTCATGTTTGTTTGAAACATATTTCAAGCATTTTCTGATTATATTGTTATAGTTTTCTCGTTTATTAAATTATGTTGATGAGTTTTACTTGATGACATATCTCTTTTTTTAAATTGTCTATACTAACATGATACAGAAATTATTTTTTCAAATAACTCCCGTTTGAATTTTCTAATTACTTTATCAATAAACTCTATAAATTCTATAAATTGATTGATTTTTTAAAATTGTTAGACCTCTGTTTATTTTATATATATATATATATATATATATTTAATGTGTATTTGTTTATATAATTCAGTAACAAATATATATTTTTAAACAGGTAAAATTCAAGAGCGAATTGATAAAAAAGGAGCATATTTCCACTTAATAGCTTGTTCATTACCACTTGTTCTGACAATAACTACAATGGCTTTAAGTGAAATTGATGGTAATAGCATTGTAGGAATTTGTTTTCTTGGTTACAAAAATCACTCTATTCGCGCTGGATTGCTGCTAGGACCTATATGTGGAGTAATAATTGTTGGAGGATATTTTCTTAGTCGAGGGTTTTTAACATTGATAACCTTGAAGATCACAAGTAAAGATATTATATCTGCCCGAGCAAGCAAAAAAATTCGAGAGACTATTGCCAGAATGGGACTATGTTGTTTGCTAATGGTGGTCTTGATTATTGGAACATTCTCTTGCCATATCAATGAATTTCAAAGTACACAAGCTTGGGCAAGTGATCTGAAGAATTATATTATGTATGTAATTTACATTACACATTTTTATGTATCACGACTAATCATTTCCTGATCAAATTCTAACTTACCCATTAGCTATGTACTAATACACCCTATATTAGTACATAGCTAATAACGTACAAAAATTAAAAAAGTAGTTTTGAAATGAAACCTTGCTCTCTTGAAATAATAATGTTCACTGTAACTGAACTTTTAAAATTATAGAATATTTCTTATATAATTATAATGCAATTTAATTATCATTTTCAGTTGTCTCATCATGTATAAATATGACACTTCAAATTCTGCTGAATCATGCCGCTTAACCAGTAGACCCAGTGTAGCATTATTACAACTACATTTATTATGCTGGTTTGCAACAGGAATTATAATGTCATCTTGGGTTTGGACTAAATCATCAGCTGAGGCTTGGAAAAGATATATTAGAAAGTATGTAATTCATAATTTTATTTATTTAATATATGTAATAGTGATTGATTACAGCATATTGATATATTATACATTTAAACTGGTTTTGAATTGAACAGATTGTAAATTAACTTTTTAATAACGTTTTATTAACATCTGTTCATTATTTTCATTATTTACTTAAATTTTTTATTTGTGACAGTGTGCAGAAGATGTTTTCTTTCATTTAATAAGTTACCACCCTATAAACTTTTCTTGGGTTAAAGTATAGAAATTGCAAAAAATCTGATTGAAATGATTGAAACTAAGTGTAAGTGTCATTTTGCCTAATGGCAAGTTGCATGAACTTTGCGATATTTTGTACATATTTTCCAAATATGTTATTATTGACAAATGGTTTAAATTAGGCTTGCAACGAATAGTATATTCGGCAAAATGCCGAATACCGAATATTCGGCATGCTTCAAAGACCGAATACCAAATTTTTGGCAGGTTTTTGGCGCCTATGCTCGTTTGTAATAATGTAATTACTATCAGTAATTGTTATATTACTAACGCGCTACATGTTTATTCAAGTTTTATGCCTAGACTTGCAATTACTATTTGGATACTCTTTGTTATTTGGAATGTTTAGCACCAATTATATTATTTGGTCGAATACCGAATACTTGAATACCACATGTGATAGTGAAATAAATGGTAATATCATGAAAAAGCGATTCTATACATATATGCATAGCTGGGCATTAACTCGTTAATCCGTTAATCGTTAATTAACGAAGTTAACATTTTGATTAACGGATTAACTTTTAAGTTAACTTTTGAAAATGTTAACGGACACGTTAACTTCCGTTAAAATGCCAGAAGTCCGTTAATCGTTAATCCAATGCCCAGGACCGTGCCTGGCCAGCGTGCAGTGCGTGCACCGCCAAATGAAAAAAAGAACAAATTCAAAGACGGCCATAACAAAAAATGGTCGAAATAAATAGCTGTTGCATTAAAAGTCTACTGAATTAAAAGGCGGCCAAATTAAAAGACTGTTGGATTAAGAGGCGGCCAAGCTCAAAGTCCGCTGAACTCATTCGCTGCCGTAAAGTCCGCTGTATATATCTAAAAGACCAAAATTACCGTAGTAAAAATCAGCCAAAGGCGGCTCTATTGAATGCGACTCTGTTTCTAAATAATTTATAAGTTATAAACTTCTTGGTGTAAGTGGCAACCTTGCCTAAATCAAGTTGCATGAAGTATCCAACATGTGTTAATAATCGACTTAACAATGAAAATATATTAATTCATGAGTACATTGCAATGTGAAAAACTATCGCAGATTATTCAATTTTGTACAATTTTTTAAAAATATTAGTTATGTGTAATAAATAGGTTAAAAATTACATATTATGAACAAGAAACAAACTGTAGTAAATTAAAAACAAGATCCAAATTTCCAAAGCAATTTGTTAATCAATAACTGAAAAACGACTCGTCGATTATTGACAAAATTTAATCAACAAGATTCTCAAATGGAAAATTTGTAATGGTTTTTGAATTTTTAAAATCAATTCACTAATTAAAAATTTGAGACTTTTTGAAAATTCTAAAGGCAAAACTAAGCAGCAAGAGTGCTTATCGAATTTACGAATTTTGACGATTTTTCAAATGGGATTGTGCATTTTTGAGAAAAGGTCGACTAAAGATGAAATTTTGACTCACGTAAAAAAGCGCCGCTCATTTTTGCAATCTTTGATAGTACATATTTTAAAAATTAAAATGACTTAATGTGGGTCGAAATATTTAGTTATCTTAGAGACCATGATCACTAGCGCCAAAAAAGTTTTATGAATATCATCGTAAAGCAATATTCACCAATTAAACACGAAGAAACGAACCGACCGATCTCTTAGAACTAATCAGCACGATTCCTAAATGATATCTTTCAAACAGTTCCTGAATTTTTAAAATCGATGCAGAATTTTTGGCTAAAACGTGTACAATAAATTTTATATTTTTCTGTTGATTAGAAACAGCTTGGCCGATCGTCGCACAAAACTGACAGGCGCTAGTCATTATCTAGTTACATCAAATGACTTTTAAACTTTTGAATTGGATTTAACCGTTTTTGAGAAAACGTTGTCGAAAATTCAAAAATCGGCTTTCAAACGATTCAGAATGACTTAAAATGTCGAGAAAACTTGAAAATTACAAGACGATTTTTTTCGTGAGAACATATTGGATATTTTCCTATTATGCTATTTTTAAGGGCGGCCATTTATATGCTCGCACGCAGGCGGCCAAATACCCAGGCACGGCCCTGCCAATGCCTACTATTTACCGCACGGCACAGCTTTAGGCCAATGCCTTATTAAATGACATAGAGAAAAGATTTGGACCACTCGTGAATGATGAACAGTGCGCCAACATGTTCAAAAGACTTGTTCAACGATTCATAAATCAATTTATTAAATACAATACTGCTATACCCTCAAGCGCTGCAGTTGAACGTTTGTTTTCCACGGGTAAAGACATTTTGACACCAAAACGAGCCTCGCTTTCAGACGAGAACTTCAACATGTTAATGTTCATGAAGAGAAATATGCACCTAACACCCGACGCTTAACCTGTCGCGCGTTTCCTATTTTTTGCAAAAAAACTCTTTCCCTTTATTTAGAAAAAAATTCTTGTAAAAACAATATGCAATCATAAAAACAGAAAGTTGACCAATAGCGTTATTATCACGATGTGTGCATAAAGCGCGTCGCGCCATTAAGGGGTTGAATTACACATTTGAATTATACAAGTATTTTGTTTTATTCATAACCTATTAACTTCCAGAACCTAAACCAATAAGTTTTTTAAGTTCACTAACGCAACGATATAAAAATGTAATTTTACACATATTAACGGATTAACGATTAACGTTAACTTGCGTTAATTATTCCGAAATGTAACGCTTTAACGTTTAACAAAGCTAACTTTTTTTGTAGCGGATTAACGATTAACGAAGTTAACTTTTTGATTAACGGTGCCCAGCTATGCATATATGTAAATGTATTTCCAATTATTTCTTTCATAAACTTTTAATATTTTGTTTTATAAACTCAATATTATTTCTTATATATTACAAAATTATATATAACAAAATAAATAAAAATGATCAAAAATATAGTTTGTATATTTTGCGATAAAAAAACAATTATAATTCTTTGTTTGAAAATGCTTAGATTGATTATAATGAATGACTTTAAAGTATTGATACATTATATTGATATATTGATAACACATGTGTGTAACAATTGAATGATTCATATTAAATAATTTAAACATGTAACAATAAAGTATCTTGTGAATATTCAGAAAAAAGTTCTTCATGTGTTCATTGATAATGTCAAAAGTCGATAAAGTTTAAATTATTATATATACAATAACGAAATCATTTCTTCATATCATATTATATAAACAAAACACTTTCAAAGACAGATCCATCGCGAGTTCTTTATGGCATAAAAGATAGAACACTAACAATGCTGTCGCTGAGCGGCGGCGGCGGCGCCTTTGATTTTAACTATTCGGTTAAAAAATATAATAATCGCCGAATATTAATAATGGTGCCGAATACCGAATAGTCACCGAATATTCTGTACAAGCCTAGTAAGCCTAGAACACGCGACTAACACATACACGGAGTATTTTCTGAAAGCGCGGCCGATTAATCCAGACTTCAATTAATTAAGTTATTTCGAATAATTTTTAAATCATTAAAATCTGTCCAGCCTCGAAAATGAACATATTCACATATCTTTTATGTTTCAAACGTTTTTGAACATTTTGACACGTCTTAGGAAAAATTTTGCCTTAAGGCAAGTTGCATGAACTTCTAAATGTGTAATAATTGACTTAATCAATCGGAATTGAGATTTAGCATACCATAATTATAATTATTGCGGGTTTTTTGCAGAAAATTTGATTGTGAAATCGAAGAACCATTGAAACTTCAGAAGCATAAAGTTATAGCCCAAGCATTTGCAAAGAGAAAGGAATTTCATGATGCTGGCAGGCTTTCAATAACCTTTCATAATACACATACTGATCCCTTGGGTTTAAATTTTGAATTAAATTCTGTTGCAAGCCATGACTTTAGCTCTACATGGGCTAATAATTTACCAAGATTTGTGAATCGACGATGCGCCTTAACATGTGGTCCAAATACTGGATCTGCATCATCTAGTCATTGTGGAAATCACAGAAGAAATTCCTTAGATTCTGAAATAAGCTTTAGCGTGCGTCATGTTTCTGTTGAATCTCGAAGAAATTCACTTGATAGTCAGGTATTAATTTAGTTTTAAGCATTGTTTAATTACTTAAGATTTAAAATCCTAATTACTTAAGATTTAAAAATAACTGATTTTACATAATTTATTCATGGATAAATATTAACAGATATCATTCAAAATTGCGGAAATGAAGACGAAAGTTGCAAGTCGAAGATGCTCCAAAGGAAAACGCATAAGAAAACGAGATTTTTTCAGTAAGAGGAGTAACAGAAACAGTTCAGTTGTCATGCGTCGAGAAAGTTCAACTAGTTTAGAAACTCAAATTGGTGCACAAATTATTAAAGTTTTAAATGCTGATCATAATTCAAGACCAAGCCTCAAGAGACGAACTGGAAATGCTGGATTAGATTCAGATAATATAAATAGTTTATTGTGTGATGGCAAATTAGTTTTGCCTTTTCTGCACAATCAGGGATTAACAACAAGTGATGATGAATGCCATTCAGTTACTTCATTAACTATTAAAGATAGTCGTTTGGATGTTGTTTTAAGGCGGAAATCTCACATTTCGAGTGATGATAACTTAAATCAAGTCAGCATCAATATTGAAGAATACCACAGTAGTGATGATAAATGTTCTAAAAATTATGAAAAAGTGATCCTGCCAATGAAAAATGTATAATGAGTAGTTCTCATAAAGATCGAAAAGAGAAGAAGGAAAAATTACTAAAAGTACTTCAAAGTATATTAGAAATAAAAATTAATAAACCTTAGAAAGAACAGAAAGAGTTTGAATGATAAGGTTTCACGTTCTAATAAACCAATAGAGAGTGAAAGTGGTGCTGATCATGATCTATGTGAATCTAGAGCACCTAAGTCTATAAAAAAATCAAGTTCTATTTCATCATCAGATTCGTACTGTTCAGAACTTTCGCCATTAGCTGTTCAGAGTTCTTTTTCTGGTATATCTGTGGGTAAAACAAACTCTAGAAACAGTAAGTTAAGTTGTGATGTAGGTATTCAAGCAAATGCTCATGAAATTGCCACACAAACTATGTCTTCTATGAAAGAAAATGGATCACATACAGAAATAATATATAAGTCAGTTGAAGATTTACATGGATCTCTAGAGATAATTAGTAAGATGAAGCTTCAAAATACTCTCATACAAAGAAGTCAAATAATAGAAAAAATAGTGTTAATGTTGAAAGTGAATCAGAATGTACTCATTTATTGTTACCATCGACAAAACCTGTTATAGTGCAAAAAAGAAGCATGATACCATTTCAAATATTGGACAAAGTGAAACTGACAAATTAAAACTTTTGTTATTGCCTGCTAAATAAATATGTATTTTCCATGACTGGTAATTGAAATAGGTGAATGTAGATACATCTATTGATAAAAAAGTATATATATATATATATATATATATATATATATATATTTTATATATTGTATTTTTATATTTGGATACTCATTACATATATTATTTATAATTAATAATTCATTACATATCATGTCAAAACAATTTATAGAACTGAAAACTGTAAATACACATTATTTTTATACTGAATATTAACAAAGTTTATTCATAAATAAAATGTATTTTAAACATAATATAAAATATTAATTTATATAATGAAAAACTACAAATTGCTGGAAGCTATTTATCATAAACTTCATAACTTTTAAGATATCATTTTTATATATATATATACATATATGTATATTTGAAGTATTTTATAAATCCCAATCGTTGAATTAAAAGAAGATACTTCAACATGTATTAACGTCAACAAAACTATTAATATATATGTTATATATATTATGGTTTTTCACATGGTAAAAGATATATTATTAAAAACAAAAAAGCTTTTGTTTATAATTCAAGTCCCATTTTGACCTTTTAGTAGATAAAACAGGCAAAAATTTGATACAATAGCATTTGCCAAATGGAAGAAGATTTTATTTCACATTTTTAGATTATGTTAATCTTAAATTTAGAAGTGCAGCGTTAAAGCAAATAATAATTGTTAAGAGAAATTACTATTTCTCCCGACAAGCTTGATTGAATGCATTTTCTTTTGGTGGGTGTGAGAATTGCAAATTGATTTTGTATAAGTATATGCTTGGATTTTTAAGCATATTGCAGAGAGTAATTATTGAAGTTGTTAAACTGAAGTGCTGAAACTATTCTTTTGTTCAATATTAATTGTAAGTTAATTCAATAACATTATTAACATACAAAAATTTTAAACAATTGAAAACGAACGTTTAAACACAAAATGGAAAAGATTTATTTTCATATAAATAACAAACCATATTTCAATACACAATATTATAGTACATCACAGAGTGATAGCAGCACAATCTATATTTATGTTCTATTTACATTTAGTAAGAATAATGCACTTGTATCAAAAGGCTACAGTATATCAATTAAACACTTACTACTTATTGTTTAGTGCTTTTCAATGCTCTTAATTCTTTTCTCCATATGAAGTTATTTATTTTCTCTCCTAATATGTATAAATACTGAAAATGCAAAGCTAACTGCAAAAAATATGATTCTGTTGTGGTAAATTCAAAACTGTTAAAACTGGATATACCAAACACCCGAATAATATTTTATAATATGTAGCCAAATTAAATAAGTCAACATTCAAAACTGTTAAAACTGGATATACCCAAACACCCGAATAATATTTTATAATATGCAGCCAAATTAAATAAGTCAACATGAATATGAGTGAACCAGTTAAACCTGATTTTCGAGAAGGATTTCTTCTAAATGTCAATACATTTCTAATAAAATGAAAATCATTATATTTGTGTGCATTACATGATTCAACCAGCTTGGAAAAAAGCATCAAAGCTTTTGGGAAACACGAGCTCCCTGTCAATAGCCATAATGTCCAAAATGTAATTCCAACATTCATTGCAACAGGAAATGCAAATGCTCCATCATGTAGTCTTTCAGGCCTCGCAGAAAGGATTTATGCCTTACACGAGTTTCATTTGAACCAGCAAAGTCATTTAATACACAAACGTGAAATATAAGGCTTGCAGAACCTGAAACAAAATACGAATCAAACGTAATTCAATAGATTATTTAAATGACAATACTAACGGCATCAATAAATGTCAGATATTTGAATTTTCCACCGAACGGATTACCCATGACATGAACGCTTTGCGGGACGTGTACAAAATTCCAATCATAGTAACAAGCAAACCAATATTGTGTTGCCGCAATAAAATGGATTAACGTGCGCATTGCACCATAAACACTTTGGCCCCACGTACCAGCACCAATACAAACTGTCATTTTAAAGACAAGACTCAGATATTTTTAACTTGCTAATGTTAACCAATCACGATTTTATTGTACAATGAAAATGAGATCGTCGTGACGTTAAAACGCAAGTCCACGTACAAAAAATTAACAAACTATACGCATTTATGCTTTAATCAACGATTCTCAATCATTTTATTTGCCACTACTATTTGTACGCATAGCATCTTGACCATGCATTGACCCGAAACAAAACATTTTGAAGTTGAATACAAAACGAATTTGACGTTACCAACATAGACCCTTCTTTTATCTTTGCATAGACCCTATGACTATATTGACTAGACATATTTTTTCATCTTATGATCTTTGATTTTTGTGATTATTTATCTATGGCTTCGACTTACTGTTCCATAGATAAGAAAGAGCATAGATAAGGGAATAACCATAGATAAGTAAACATAACGTAAAAATCACATACATAAATAAACATAAAGACAAAACATATCCCCCTAAACCCTATATTTTTTTATTTTAATAATTTTTACAGCTGTCCCGAAACGGACAAGTCAAATATTTGACATAAAACTGAAAGTGTTATCTATTGTTGATTAATGCAAAAGAAATTTATTAATAATTCATTATTATATCCTTTAGAATGTAATATATAAGAAACTATTGAATTTGATCGACTTGAAAAATCATAGATTAGCGCATTACTTTAATTATAGACGTTGTTTTGTTAAGCAGGGGATATTCATTTGAAGAAAAATTAAATCGCTAACTTATAAGCCAAGCCCTAGCAAAACATGTTATGCACTACCACGTAATAAACAAACCAAAGTCAACGTTCAAGTTATTAAGTTTACAACTAAAAGTGTTGAACGTTTTACTAACTACCATCATGCTTATTATCTATTTAACCATAGATAAACAAGTATGTATGTATGTTATTGTTACTTATCTATGTATGTAACCATAGTAAACAGTATACACACCCCCATGTATGTAACCATCACATGGTAACGACTTTTTTCTGCGCTATTTTATTTTAACTTTTGTGGTTTACTGGGCTAGTTACAGTTGAAGCCATGGTGCTGCTTGATATTATTATATTGTTGTTCGGACGTATTTTTATTTTATTATATTGGCTATGAAGGTGACGATCACCATGACATTTAGCTTTTATACGGGATGGTTGCTACCCCTGGTAAAGGAAGTAGCGGAGTTCTTGATGGGATTAATAGTTCACTTCTAAAAGCCAAGCCCGCGAAACAACATGTGTAATAAAAATTAATAGTGTTTAATACAGTCCATAGCTACAAGGGTTAAATTACAACGTCACTACCTGAGTTATCGAAAGAGAGTTTTAATAAATTTTATAACCACGTGGCGGAAATACAATTGTCTACAGACGCAACCAGAGATTATTATATTGTCTTGTCTATGATGCAGTCTGAGATTTGCCATCATGTCACCATCATGGTTAATTTTTTTTGTCACTATAATGATATAAATGGACTAATATTAGTACTTTAAGTGTATTGCATTTTTTGGGCATTTTTTGGCGAAAACAACCCAAACCATCAAAATCTTTCAAGATATACCTTAATCAAAGTTTACAAACATAATCAACATATTTCCATCATTTCATCTTTAATTGGCATGCTCTGTAAAAGTAGCCGATGTATAAATTAATTCAGGCTAAATAAATAATTAATATAAGTAAATGCATTGTTTAAAAGTGTACTATAACCCATTTAATTGTTTAAGTTTTTTACAGATATCTGCTGCTGCTATTAAATATGATTTAATTTTCCGAAAAAAACTTCTGTTTTAATTTTTTATTTAATTTTCATATATTTATTTTACAATTCAGGAAGTATAGATATTAACTTATAAAACTATTCCTTTTCAAGAACTATAACTTATAGAATTTTACTTAATCATAAGGAATAGAAAACGATAGAAAACCGCCCCCATCTCTTTCCCTTACAGTAACATAAACATTTAGCGTGATTCTCTTTATTTATATCATAATTATATCTCCTTTATCATAACTTATATCTCCTTTTCAACTTCCCTAAATTAAAATCAAAAATGACCACAATGATGTCAACAAAAATCATTTAAATTTTCAAGTATCGCGTTTTGCATCTACTATCCAGTTTTTTGTTTTGTGGATAAGATTATGGCACAAAGGTACACAAGCGTTTCCATTATGTAACTGAACACTAACTGACTATAGTCATGAATTAAAAACTTAAAAAAATTAAATATAGCTTGCATTTATGATATAAAATTATTAAATACTTACAAGACACCATTGAGTTAGGAATATACTGCGCCCTTTAAAAGGTGCTTGTTCCCAAACTTTATTTCTTTTGGGAATCGAACATAAAGTTGATCATAAATAATTCCAAAATAATAGTGTAACATAATCAGCACATGTAAAATTTTAACAACACAAGAATTCGCCATTTTGTTATTTGTAATAAAATATATTATTAAGTTATAATCAATTAATTGAATGTGTACTCGTGATTATTCAAACAAAATCTGATTAATTTCAACACACTGGAATGACTAGTAATTTATAACTGGTATACTGCACTTCACGTGAATCAAAGTTGTAACAACGACTCTTAAATGATATAATACTTATTGAGTAATTACATTCACTTTCTACCGATGTTCAAAAAAGCAACTTTCAACATTTTTGGAAATAATTACTATAGACCAAAACGGTCTTATCTGAATGAAAGCGTTATTAGAACTGAAATCAATACGAATCAGGACGTATAGTAGTCACAGTAAAAAGTGCAAAGGCTAACCATGACCTTGTGCGTCAATTCATCTAATCATATATAAAACGCTTGATAATGATGAAATAAAAAATTAAAAATAAATAGAAATATTGCCAGTAAATCAGATGGATAAATTGTTAAATTTAAGTTTACATATAAACATCAACACACACACACACTTATATATATTATATATATATATATATATATATATATATATATATATATATATAATATAAAT